AGGTTTCCACTTAATCTTATCCATCTTATCACAGCCAGCAAAACACAAAGCTGTTCAACAGAGGGTCATTCACAGCAGCACATGGTGTGAACCATGTGCACTCTTTCTTCATTTTTCAGCACAAATCCTTCCCCCACCCCTTCACTCCGGTCCATCCATCTGTTGCTACTCACAGGCGGTGCAAGGATAATTATGGAGACGTACAGGAGGAAAAATCAACAGGAGTTGGATAAGGCCTATCAGAAATTTGCAATGCAAACAGCCGGAGCATGGTGTGCTTCTGACCCCTCAGGATTCAGGTCACTGGCAATCATTTACTAGACTGTAGCCAAAAAGTACTTCTACAGGGCATTTGGAGTGCAATTAGCATGTCAGCTGTGTGTCATGTAAAATACGGGTTCAGCATAAACACTTGATAGTCAAAATCTATTTGAACAGACCCGTAAGCAGCTAGTACATGAAAGGGAAATGAGTGGTGAATAATTTGTGGGCAGGTTTAAAGGTCAAAGCATTAAAAAATGGATAGATAGATAGATTACTAACCATAAATTACTGATAAACTAATAAATTATAAATTAAATTACATATACAGATATATTTATTTTTACAACAATTTTTTTCTGATTCTCGAATCTGATTGGCTGAGAGCCTTTTCCAGGAATGCGATATTCTAGTGATAACAGAACTCCAACCATTTCTATCACTCCGCTTGCAATATTTCTCACAACGAGTGTCACGGCGGACGCCCAAATCCACTATCATTGTATAAATAAGAGTTTTTGTGTCACGGGATGTAGTTTTAGGAGTTTTTTAGGCAAGAATGTACTTGTTTAGACTTAAAATGTGCGGTTTGTTAATAAAGATATGTCTATTTGAAAATTTGCTTTTACATTTTTGGAGAAGTGAGCTCCAGGGCGTCAGCGGCCATTCAGTGCTCATGAACCTGCCGAGAGCAGCCTCACCTCGGCCAGATCTTCTGGACTTTGCCGCTGCCCCTGATGTCTTTAGTGGTTAAACATGAGATATAATTCGTTTTGGGTAATTCTAACGGGCAGTCTTTGGTCTCATTAATCTATTATTTGTTCGAGGGCAAATAGTTTTGGCTGAGGGCAAAGTCTCAAAACGTTATATTTTACATAACTTTAATGCTGTATATCAGAGCGCTGCCTTTGTACTTTTGACTGAATTCCCTAAACTTTTATGATGGCTGTTGATGTTTATATTTGTTGTTTCAATAAATAATATTTTATATAAATACTATTAGCATTTAAAGGGGTCATGAACTGCCTTTTTATTATTTTGTACTGTTCTCTGAGGTCCACTTATAATGTTGTCAAGATTTTTACATAAAAATCATCATAATTTAGAAGTAATAGGCTATTTTCTGTCCTGTTTTTTTTTTTTTTACCCCCTCATCAGAACGCTCCAATATAGTCGGCACAGCATTGTCTTTTAGTTTCAATCCTTCTGAAAATCCTGCGTCGAAATGTGCCTTGTTTGTAAACGAATCCGAGTTCAAATGAAGCAAACAAAGGATCAAGTTCTTACTGACACGGTCTGGATCTTAATTAAAAATAAAGTTCATCGACTGATCACTCTTTCCTAATGTTGGGATCAGAAGGAAGGCAGTGCAAAGACTTGTGTTTTTCCACAACTTGGCACTGCACAGCGTTTTGTTGTATTCTGAGAATCTTTATCATTTGGTTTCTGCATAGACCTGCGTTTTTCTCTCTCGTTATTTACACTACATGCGTGAATCGGTGGGCGGGGCTAAACAGACAGTGATGTAGAAGCAGGCGTTGATCTTCTTCTGCGGAGGCGGTGCTTAGTCATTCTCTATTCTCTATTAACCAATAAGAGGCATTAATTAAAAAATGTAAATCAATAAGCCATTAAAATCAAGAAATAAACTAAATTAAAACTGTGCTGAAAAGTACACGTTATACATCGAAATTAAAGGCACTGTCAAAACGTAACCCACATTTACCATAACTTCATACTTAATACTCACATTTATGTGTGTTTGTATTTTCTGCCATGGTTAGCACTTGGTGCAGATGTGAAGAGGTAGGAGAATTTATACGTGCGTCACGTTTAATCGATAAAACACTTCCATAAAGGATACACCTGTGTATCCTAGCTCAAGACTCCTCAGGAAGCCTCCTCACTCCTCGAACCTCGCCTCCTCGTGGTGCAATCAGAATCAACATATCTGAGTTTACAATGGAGGAAATAGCCCAAAAATCCAGTTGAAATTTTTTAAAAACTATTTCTAAGTGCCCTATTGACATGTTGCGTTGTAATGAGAATTTGGGTATTTGGTGCCATATAAATAGTCATTTGACCCTAAGAAACATTATTTTCTACACTACATGTGGTGAAAGTGTATGCATTTCGTCTGTGAAAGTTATATCAGGGGTGTTTGCAGAAATGACATTAAGCAAACTGACTATGCAAACAGCTCCATGACTTTGAGCTATAATAGATTAATAGATTAGCTATAATATATATTTGAGCTATAATAGATTATTCGTTTTTAAAACCAGAAAGCAAAGTAAACTGACTCTAATCTATTAAGACTGGCTATATACAGAAAATATGTAATCCATGCATTGTTAATATAAGACATTAGCTCAGTTTAGGACCAGATAAGTCATAACGTTTTTATAAAATATTGTTTTGATGTGCAATAATAACTATTTATTTTCACAGTCTTGCTCAGAGTTAGGGTTAGTTTGACATGCAAGCATCATAATATTTCTTAATTATAATAATAGTACATGGAACTCAGTATAATTAAAAACAAATACAAAAATGTACTGTCGCCATTTTTTAATTCATAGATAATAACAAATTAGATTTTTGACCACTGAACTAGGAAATGTCCCTGGTTTCCATTTCAGAAATCTGGTCAATTTAGCTCCTTAATCGGATTGTTTTTAAAGAGCCTGTAGCAGGTTTCAGGGCTTTTAGTGAATGGCACAACTCTGTGGAACTGACCAGAAAGAACAAGGTAATTACTTTGAGTGTCGATCTATCTTTGGTCTTGCTTGGCTGCTTTAGAAACAGCCTCTTTTAGCCCCCTAGTGACACATAATGGGCACAGCACTCCTACTGCCTTTTTTTAAAGGTGAAGTGTACAATTTTCCATGCTAAAATACTTTCTCGTACACAAGATTAATATGCAGAGACAAATATAAGCCCTTTAATTTCTCTGTGGCGTTATCAAAACAAAAGTTATTTTGAGCATTCCAATAAGCCCGACAGTTGGCTGAACCCAGCAAGCAATAGCCGTCATTTCAACGTCTCGGTTAAGTATAAACCCGATATAGTCCGGCTATGTGTAACCCACTTCTAGCCCAAATAACCTTGAATTTGGTTTCATGTCGTTTTTTGGCAAAAATAACTTGTGAGATCAGATGTATGATATTCCATCATGTAAGCAAAGTTTGGTTTCATTTCTTTGACATGTTCAATACGTAGCCTGTTCGTAGCCACGATTTAGCTCGTAGTCCGAGCGGCTATCTGTAGCCCACTTATAGTCAAACCTGATTCACTGTAGTTTTTGGCCAG